ATGACTTTGATGTCTATACTTGTTGCATATTTATTATGTAGTGGAAATCCTCACTTTTAACACACAAGGTTAAAGATCTGCATTAGAAAACATAAAATATTTTACTTGGTCCTTCATTCATGAAATACTTAATACTAATAAATAAAGTCTCTCTTAACATACTAACTGAAATAAAATATAAACAACTTTTTAACTATTTACATTTTTATTGCCTATGTAATTTTGTATTTCTTAATTTCATTTGCCTTCATTTTGGAAGATGCTTTCATACCCACAGACACACACCTGTCCTCTTCCTCTTCAGCTGAAATAACTGAACTTCAGAACACCTCCATCTTTTTGCTTTGCTTCTGCATATGACTTTACTGAATATTCTCTTTCATGACAAGGAATAAAATAGACTTCCCAGACCCACTGTTGATAGACCACATGCAAAATCCTTCCCTAGAAGGATTAGAAAGGGGTTACAGAGCAGCTTCCTGCCAAATAAAGCAGCTAATATCCAGGAGGGCACCATGTTTATAGTCTAAAAGGAGACTGGACAGTCTAGACACAGGCTGCCCCACTCTAAAGCTGGGCAGAGTTGTGGTACGATATCTTTTGTGATCTCCTCAGCATTACACAAGACAAATATAACCGTCACTTAATATTGGATTGTTCTTACCACTCTTCAGCTATGTAAAACTCAATAGTCCAGCCCAAATCACTGTTTAAGGCTCCTTCTAGAATCTAAAGGGAAAAAAGAGACGCCTCTAAATGGCACCTCATTGCAGCAGTCTAGGAACTAGACATAAGTGACCAAGAAGAAGTTCTCAAAGAATAAACTGCTTGACTATTACCAGCTAATAAGATGCTGTTATATTTTGAAAGAAACACAGATATGTAAAGAAGAGACATGCTTGAGCTCACACAAGCCTCAGTGTCAACATGAACTGTTTAGCTGTATACAAATCTCAGTGCCTGCTTCTAAAACATGCAGCTAAATCACACAAAATCTTGTGCACATTTACGACTGAAAAGATGGTAATAGGTCTTTTCAGTTGTAATCATTTTAAAGGTGCTAAACAAGACAAGGATGATTGCTAATTTATTCCACTGTTATCATTTTTACATCAACATTAATTGTTTTACCCTGGATGCTGTGAAATATAAGCACACAGAAAAGTAATCACTAAAAAGTTAAGTACTATTGACTTTCTCAGCAGCTTGAGTTCCAGTGAGAAATAATACCTCCGTAATGATGACTACCTTTACATGATCTGCATGTCCCCCGGTACTACAGTAAAGACTTTTTTCCATTTATTTGTGCAGGAACAACAAAGACAGTCCCAGGAGATCTACAGAATTGTAACTGTATTTCTCTTAAGGTAAACAAGCTGCTTTAATTAGTTTAATGTGTGATATGGAATCTATCAGCAATTAGCATCTTTGATGAAAATCGGTACGAAAGCCAGTTGCTGTCAGGATGTTCAATAGTCATGAAAAGGAAAACAAAGCACAATTTGCTTGAACAGAGCACAGTAGGTATCTGCATCAGTATCTTTTCTTTGTATACGTATTGCTAACCACAACCTTTGCACAAAATTCCCAGGGGGGATTTTCTGATGGACAAAATCTATTTTTAAAATATAATTGGTTCTGAGTAGCAAAAGAGGTTTGGCTCATATACTTCTGAAAACTGGCTCACACACATAACCTCTTTGAAAAAGCTTTTCTTCTGCAACAGACACAAAGTCTAGTGGCAAGAAAATAACCAGAAGTAGTAATGAAATATTACCTCACATACATTCCAGGCAGCACCATAATACTGCAGTTGTTCCAAAACCCAACAGTTATCATGGTGCCCTGGTATCTCTCGGTCACTCTTGGAGGCACTACTGTTTCAGCACATTCATTTTCAGCCTTAAGAACAGAATGGCTTGATGAGTTGGAGAGATGTATGAGTGGAAAGTGTGAGACAGTGCTTGTTTTTTCCACAGGGTTAGCCAAAACAATATGCATTGTGTCTTACTTACACCGCACGTTTAAACAGTGATGAGTCTTCTGGTGCTAGCTCATGCTACCTCCACACTTATCTGTGGAGAAACCTTTTGCAGTGCTTAAAACCTTCCTTTTGGAAACACCAGGGACTCTGCTGAAAGAGGTGTCTACCTACCTGCTCAGCACTGCCTACAGCTCTCAGCTCAGCCCTACAGCCACAGACCCCCAGCACGCTCCAGCCTTCCCTACCTCTGGATGTAATTTCAGCATCTCTTTTTCTAATGGGAAATATGTTGTACTGTAACATGAGGAGATGGCAAGCAAGCAAACAAGCGAGGAGACTTCGTGTCTTGCAAGCAAATCCATTTGATTTGAGCAGTACATTATCTTCCACACATCCGGCTGGACTAAGTGTGCCTGTGTAATGGAATGACTTACAGCTATGCTCTTCTTCGATCCGTGACCTGCTTTGCGGGGTAAAAGGGAGGAAAAAAGGGACAGCAAAACATTATGCTTTCATTTCTGCTGTTTGCTAGTTATAAACATCCCAAATCAGTGCAAAGGCATCTCATCCTCAGTCAAAGGGAGATTTTGTTCTGCTGGTGCCAAGCTCTGCATAACAGAGGCAAGCATGAATGCTGAGAGCTCAGCTGAAATCATGCTAGTCAATGAGGCAGAGCCTGATTCTGCAAGCAGCAGTTCCTTTGAATTAAGGGTTATACCTTGGTCAGCACATTGAACTCCCACTGTGGACACTGGCATGCCAAGAAGAAGGTCAAAGAAGTGCAATGTTATTAATGTCCTGTTTTAAGAACAAACTATTGTCCATTTGGCCTAACCGTGCTTTCATTCCTTCTCAAACCCTGTGTTTGCATTTACTGAGTGCTGGGTTTTTGCTGGACTAGCTCTGCTAACCATTACATATTTCATATTGCACTTAGTGTTTCATAAACCCTGGATAAATCCAGACTTAGAGAGGATAGGTCACAAATAAATGCAACTTCAAGACAAAGAGAGAAATAGATTTATGGAGAAAAGGTCAATTAAAATGGATTTTTCTCTAGTGTAATTGAACCTGCATTTATTTTCAATTTTAAAAACTGAAAATGAAGCATTGAGTCATTACAAGGGCCAAAAAATTGCCAGAGCTACACTGGGTTAAACTCAAATTATATAGATGTAACTGTTCAAAGGAAGTCCAGTTAAAATAGAAGTAACAGAGTAAATAATTCCTTTTCTTCCCCACACACTTCTGTTATGATGCAATGAACAGAATTTTCAGTTACCAGAAAATGATATTTCTGTTACATTTCTATGCTTATCTAAGTCTTTGAAGTCTTATTGATGACTGCAAATTTGTTTAAGCTGCCCTAAACCTTTTCAATTGAATACACTTAGATACACTCCAGGGAATAATTACTGTCCTCAGCTGTGGTATGATGTAAACCCTTTCCAACTCATTTCCAAAGCGTCTGAAAACAAGCAGCTCAGCCTTAGACAGTGTTCCAGGCTTAACACACTGTGGATGATGCTCAAGACAAGACGTATAATTAAACTTTCTAGTTACCTTCTTGGTCTGTTCCCCAACACAACAATCTTTCAACAGCCAGATCATAACTGTTAGAAACTAGTTTTCATTGTTCCAGTCTGGTAAATGCAAACGAAGACTAAGACCATATACCTATGTGTAGAAATGAGGGACAATAGTTCTTAAAAACAAATAAGCTGGTTTGTTACCAGCAATATTAATAAGGTCTAGCCTGGTGCAGATCAGCTGACACTGCAGCTGTTACCACCATGGGGGATTTACACTTCTTTTCTGAACCCACAGATGAATTTCCATGAAACCTGAAGGTGCTGCACGTCCCTGAATTCTCTACCTTCCTGCCAAATTTGCCTGAGATTGGCCAACGCATTTAAAAAATGGAATAGGGAAGAGAAAAAGACGCAGACAAACATCATGGCTTTATCAGTCTCACCTCTGGGAAACACAGCTAGAAACAAAAGTTGAAAGTAGGAGAATACTTGAAATACATCACTGAAACTTTTAGACAATGAAAAAAAAACAAAACCAGTTATTACAAAAGAAGTTTGACTATAAATAATCAAATCAAGACTGGAATTACTAAGAAGAAAGCAGGAAATCACAGCAGACTACTTCTAAATTGTTAGCAAGGTAAATCAAACATTTCCTCCTCTGAGCTCAACAGCACTCTTTTGATTTATACCTGTGAAGGTTCTGCATTATGAAATGAATTGTATTTCATAATGCTTAGCTATAATCAGTCTACTGTACAGAGCACGTTGGACATGCTGTTGATCAACCAAAACACTGCAATTTTTTGCTGAGAGCAAGGAAAGTATAAGACTGCACAAGTCCCATATACTTTCCTTTGCCCAGAGGGACCCAAGGACTTTATTTGACTTCCTCACATAAATAAAAGCAAGCAGTTTGCAAAGCCAAGCTAAATCTAAAAACAAACCACAAAGTATCATCAGATCCTGTCTGATCTAGCCTTGATAGCAAGAGCTCTGAGGTTTGTTTTCTTTTAACATGTATATTTTCAGGAAAGTGTTGCAGACTTAAACTTCTCATGCAGGATGAGATCGTCTGTTATGGTAGAGCTGAGAACATGGCTCACTGCTGCTCAGACTGGCACATCCCATGTATTGTACTTCTCTCCTCATCCTTTTCTATGCTACACACTCCTGGCCAAATTCTGGCACTCATCTGACCCTGCCCTGAGCCAGTTGAACTCACCAAACTATCAGGGAATTAATTTGCTTAAGAAAAAAAAAAAAAGTGTTCCAGAAGTGATAACCCCTTAAATCATCCGTTGCCCCATACAGAGAGAGTCACTGGCCACTTCATATTTCTCAGAAACTTCTCAGAAAAGGTGAAAAAATGAAAAAATGTTTTGGAGCAGATACAGTCAATTTTCCATTGGAAATCTCTGCTTTTCATGTTCTTAAGACTCTAAGGTACAAAAAAAAAGAACACAAAAAGGGCAGTTGCTTACCATTTGTCTTCTGTTCTCTACCAGGTGGATGCCAACAATCCCTAGGAAAGATCCAAAGCCAAGCTAAGGCAAAGAACAAAACCAACAGAAACACATGAGGTCAGCTTATTTGGTCAACATACCAAACCATCACAGTGATATCTGAGCAGGTGCATCATACAGATGGGATAATTGGGGTGTGTCAGGGGAAAGGGGGAACGTTATCACAGAATTATAGAACAGTCTGGGTTGGAAGGGACCTTAAAGATCATTTAATTCCAATCCCCTGCCATGGGCAGGGACACCTCTCACCAGCCCAGGTTGCCCAAAGCCCCATCCAGCCTGGCCTTGAGCACCTCCAGGGATGGGGCAGCCACAGCTTCTCTGGGCAGCCTGTGCCAGGGCCTCACCACCCTCTGGGGGAAGAATTTCCTCCTAACCTCTAACTTAAATCGCCCCTCTTTTAGTTTAAAACCATTCCCCCTTGTCCTGTCATTGTCTGCCTGAACAATAATTTGCTCTCCACCTTTTTTATAAGCTCCCTTTAAGCACTGAAAAGCTGCAACGAGGTCACCACAGAGCTTTCTTTTCTTCAGGTTGAACATCCCCAGCTCCCTCAGCCTTACTTCAGAGGGGAGGTGCTCCAGCCCTCATCAGACCTTCCTGGCACCAGGATTCTCACCAGGTTGATATGGGCTTGGAGAAAAGGATGTTCCTCAGTGCCACACACCTAAGACTTAGCTGGCCACAGACACAGAAAGAGCCACAGTAGGAGTGTCGGTGTCACCAGCAGGTCTGTTTCCACTGCATTCCCTCCCTGCCTTACTGGATGTATGCTTCTCTGCAGGCACTCAGTAAGGCTGGCACTAGCTCTCCAAATCTGGTTCAAAGCCTCTTTTCCAAGCCCAACTAGGTTTTTAAGGATGAAGTGTCCCAGCCAAGGGCTTGAGCGAGGCCCATGAACTCCCTGCTCTTACGCACAACCACTCACAGCAGAAAGCAAATCTCCTGTAAGCACTTCAATCGCTCAACGTAACAACAGGAATCCGTGATTCCCCCTCAAGAAGACAAATGTAGGGAAAGGGGATTAGCTACTGAGCGCTCTGGGAAGATTTATGTGAAAGAAGGCAAAAGTACGGAAGAGATTTTAAAAAAGAAAAAGTGTGCAAGCACGTCTGTGCTGACTGCTGAGTAGGGGAGAGACTTGGAACTGTGAGCAAGGACACATTGTTCAGGGGACAGCAACTTTGTAAATTAACACAGCTACATCAAAATGACAGCTGGTTCCAGCCCCAGTTTTTCATCCTAAAAGGAGCAATCCATGCAGTCCCATTTAAGGCTTACGAATGAGGGCAGAGAGCAGAGCATTATTATCCACATACAGGGAAAAAAAATTATATATATATTTTTAAAAAAGAACCAGTTAGAGATCATGTTGTAAGCCATGATATTGCTGAGGGTTATATGTGCTGCTTTTCTTGTATGATGACTGGGATATTTGGACTCTGTGGTCTCCTGGTTGAAAGATTTTAAAAATAGCTAATTAAAATAATACAAGCAGTAGTCATAGAAAAGTGAAATCCTTAAGTATAAACAGTAGAAGAAAATAAGGTCGAAGAAGCTCCAACCCAGCTTTGCAACCTGTTCCACAAAGAGAGCCTTAAACCCAAACAGATGATCAAGCAGTAACCTACTAAATGCAGACACCTTCCGAAGTGGAACATTATACTAACTCACCTACACACAGCAAGATTGTATGTTAAATTACTTCAGATGTGTAAATGTAGTTAATACCTACTGCTAAAAATACGCATTTATAAAAAAAGCTTTTCCCCAAACAAATGACAAATCACCAAACAGAAAGAAATTAAGGCACCTAACTCTTCTTGAAGGCAACGGGAACTAAGCAGACACCCTACTTTTATTGTGAATCTGGCCCTAAAGCCCTGATCTGCAAATGCTTCTAGAGGTAAGTAGGTCTATGGAAGTGAACAGTCCTGTTCACATTTGTAGGTGTTTGCACAGTAAGGGTCTAATTCTGCATGTGTTTTAAGACCAAAGTCCCTTACCTAAGACCAATGGAGATTTAGGTCACATCAACCAGCCTCAAGGTTATTATTTTATTGTTAAATGCTGTGAGAACCAGACCTTAGTTTTAATTGTAATTAACTTTAAGATAAATTTCTTTCAGCCCAAGAGTTAAATATGTAATGTCAGATTCACTTACCGAGCTCTAGCTATCTATAAGTTCAAGACCAGTGCTATGACAGCTTTCCAAGCTCCCTCTACTGCCAGTGGAGAAGAGGAGCACCTTTCGAGGGTTATTCAGCTTTGCAAGGCCTTCCCTTAGTCCATCGGTCTGTCAGTGCTACACATGAGCCAGCAACCTCCGGCAGCAGGGCAGGAACACAGCTGTGCTCCTCTAACAAGGTTTTTGTAAGTTATCACACAGGGCTTGTGCAGCATCTTTAGCTCTTCCTAAACATTTACGTTGATAAATAACCATCGTTTTTCTGTTGCTTCAATAATACACTACGTGTGCATGAAAAGAATTCTGAATTTCATGAAAACTATTTAACTCCAACAATCTTTTGACAGGGAAAATTATTACTAAAGGTTTTGCTTTCAAAGTGTTCTGATATAGTCTAGTTATTCTAACTGATTACTAATGATTAATATTTCAAAAAAACGTTTTATTATTTTTTTCTGAGTGAATAGACATTGTTTTCTTCCTAAAAGAACCTAAATGCTGAAATAAACTGGTTTGTGCACATGGGCTTATCATACCGAATCTACTTTAAAAATGAAACTCCTTTCAAGGGAATGAATGTAGATAATGTGGCCTTCTAAAATACTTTAATTCAAAATTACCGAAAAAGACTTTTTATCGGTATTAATCTATCTATTTCAGATTAATGAAAGGAAAACCCATTCTTTTAAGGTTTTATTCCTGTAACTACTTTTTGTTCTATTTTTAGAACACCGCTCTTTATAGATCATTATCCCAAAATTATCTTTCTGAAAGACCTGTTCTCAGCGTGACACCAAGATGTAAGAGGACTTGCTTAGGAAGAATAGTTCAATTATTAATGGCAATGCAAAATGTATGCACTGTATTAGAAGATACAGATCCCTCTCCTCTGGGCATTTCATTCTGCAGAGAACAAGAACTAAGGGTACCTCGCAGCACATGTTGGCACTGGTGGAGCCACATACCTAAGCAGATGCCTACCTCTTTTCTTCACCTTGCACCCTTTGCCTCCTCTGGCTGGCCACAGGAGACTAAATAAGGCAAAGAGACTATTTGCTGCCCTTACTCTTTCTAAAATTCAACCCATTCATCTCAAAAAACTTTCTCCTCCAGAGGTTTCCACTCTTTTGGGGTATGACTGATCACTTCTGAGATTGGAAAGGGCCATGGGTGAAAGACCTGGAAGGGCTACGCTTCCCCAGAAGCCACCAAGGCACTACAGGGTTAAAGAGATGCAACATAAGCCTTGTGCCCAGTGCAGATAGATGTTCCAGGGTACATAATTCCAAGGTAAAAACAAGACTAAGGATTTTGGAAGGGGAACTTGTACAGCAGGACAGACACCAAGACTGTATAAGAGGATGTAGAAGTTGGGCAGACTCTAGGGAGAAGCTTCCATATGCCCATCACCAGCATTTTCCCTGCACTGGATCCAGCAGAATTCCTGGCACATGGACACAAGAGCAAAGTGACTTTTTCAACCATCAAAGCAGTGAATCTCTAAAAGGCCATTTAAATCTATCCCATGCCTGTTTTCTATTCATTTGTCAAGCACAGCCTCCACCACAGTACCGTGAGATCAGCATACCGCTGTGCAGTGTAAACTTGACCCCCCTGTGCCACCTAAAAGCCTCCCCTCCCTTAGGGCAATTCAGAAAACCTGAGTTTACCTCCCTATTTACTCACACTCTAGAACCAGATCAAAACAAATGAGCATCTCCCTCCTGTGAAATTCAAGACAACTGAATTTTCTTTTTCTTTTTAATCATCCTGCATCCAGCTGATAATAATTTATTTAGTTGTACCCAATATCCTAAAGTAGGCTTCTTTACTCACAATGATGCCTGGGTAGTAGCCTCCCACGGTAACATTTTCTGTCCTCGTTGTCGCTGCCAGCCCTATGGTCAGGATGAAAGTAGACACCACCAGCAGGGCGACTGTGAACCAAAGCGAGGTCTTCTTCCTTTTTGCAAACTGCCCTGTAGAAAGTGGGGGGAAAAGGAGATTTTAATTGCAAACATGACAGAGCAAATAATGGACCATTTGTTGACCTCTTCTGCTGTTCTCCCACTAAGGAAAACTTCTGGCAGGCAACAGACAGACCGAAGAAACGTATGGAGTTAGCTGGAGCTCTACACAGCTTAATGCACACGCATCGGGTACACGTACGAGATGAGTTTTTATCAAGCTGAACTGAATGTCAGTGACAATGATAATTATGCCTTATCTGCAGTAACATTTATAATTAAGTTGTTGCTCACATCCCTAAGTCAAACCCTGCAGGCCTTGAACAATGCTTACCTTTGTGAAGTTCCAGTTTAACTCTATGTGGACAGAACGTATAAACTTATATTTTAAACGAGATGAGAATAAGCTCTACACACTATCATGAAAATGAATCTGCTGTTCGTATTAACATATCCAAACCAACCTATATCATTTCAAGCCAGGCAACTCAGTTAAATGGTGACAGTTCAAAAGCCAGGCTAGATTAGGGATGCTCACAAACCAAGTCAAACAATTTCAATGAATTCAAAATCAAAATCTGTATGTTTGCTGACATCTTTCCACTGGCACTAACAGACAAAACGAGTCCAGCCTTTCAGTATGAGAAGCAAGCAACTTTACTGAAGATAAGTATCATCTATTGCCCTTACGTACATCTCTTTCACTGCATGTACGAAGTCTTCCTGTTAAAGATCAAGAAATAATTCACAGGACTCTCCAGTAACTCTCTGCACTCTCCCCTCCAGTCTGTGCCCCAGCTGCTTGCCTCTGGTGATTCCCCATTAATCCATGTGGGGTCAGAGAGGACATGGAAACGGAGAGGCTCTTCATTATCAATCAGCTCTTCACCAAGTGCGTGGGGTTAAATGAAGCCAGTTCCGTTTCACTGCAGCCAGCTCAGAAGAGGAAAGCAGACTTTACACTTACAACTCCACAAGTCAGTTACCATTCCCACAAAGATTGGATTTTTTGGAAATATTTGAAGTGATCGTGTTCTTACAGCTCAGGCTTTTAAGATTTTCTGACATTACTGAGACAGCAAACTGCTCTCTGCTCCACCTCAAAGATGCAGCTCTCAGGCATGCAGCTCCAGGAGCTAGGTGTTAGGAAATGCATGGAAATGCAGCACACTGCACAGCAAATAGAAGAATACCACTAACACCCCAGGTCTCAGGAAAAAAATATTAAAAAATAAAAAAGAAGTGGAATGCTTCAATCAGCATATGGATTAAGCTACTTCATTTCAGATTCCCAGACAATACCCAAACTAGTTGCTTGTTGTATCTCATAGTTACACTGCTGCTGTAGTCATTTGTCCAGCCTACTCCATAACCTTACAGCTTACACTAAGAGAGACATGAAATCTAGTGTGGCCCCACAGATTTAGGAAACTGATGCTTGGCTATGCTCACAACCTTTATGGAACACAAGAAAAGTCACTGGTGTTGAAAAAAGGAAGAGGGAGAAGTAAACAACGAAGTATCTTTATTCTGAATATGTCTGGAGGTTGCTGTGTCTGCGTGAAGCCTTGTGCAAGCATGCACTGATTTTACATGATGGAGCCATACGACCCAGGGCAGCTACTGCTTTAGTAGCAGCAGCTGTTGCATGAACCAGCCAAGCCTCCCATAGCAGGGAAATTTCTGTTGACCACTCCATTTACATTGCAGAAATGTTTTTCAGTGCAAAATCAAAAGGAGCATGACTGCAGGCAAGACCTAAATTCACTATTGGGAATCTTTATCCCAGCCCAACCTTCCACAGCCATGAAAATCAGGCCGGGAGAAATGGTGAAGCTTCATAACCATGCAGAACTACTTCATAACCATTTTCAGAACTTCTGGATACCTGAAAGAGCTGCTATGGAAAAGTGGATGAGTGGATGTTCAAAATGTACCTCTGTGTGTTGTTTATAGCCAGTGCAGCTCACAGACCATATGCCAGCTCAAAACTATGCAAGTGGATGGAAATGAAAGGAGGGCCTGACAGTAAAAAAGTGTAAGGCCCACATGTAGTTTCAACACAAGAAACTCATTTACCTGTGGTTGCATTTGTAAGAATTGCACTCAGAAATTTAAGTCTCCCCAAAAGGAATCCCCATTGCACAGTCATATTAAAACAAGTGCCAGGTGTCCTCAGGTCTCAGAGACAGCAGAAATTTAAGTTTGCTCAGTGCTTCACGGAACCTAAGTCGTTCTCTGCATTCCCAGTGCTTTGATGGCTGTGAAGTACAGATTGCTTTGTGACAAGGAATGAAAACATCAACACTCAGCCAAAGGAAAGCTCTGCAGTATCCCCAGTGGTTTTACTAGTGCAGTATCCCCAGAAGCTACCAAGGTGATGGCTCTCCAAGATATTGGCTTCACAGTTTAGGTCAACCAAAGTGCCCATCTTTGGTCACCCACCCATCTTGTCTCCTCCTAGCAGTACTGAGCCTGACGACTGATTTGTAAAGGGCTATTTTAAGCCCTAATAACTGAATTACTCCAGTTTACAGCTCAGACCTATCAACACCGATGCAACAGGGAGGAGAATGAGCCCCGTCCTATAAATAGAGCATTTCTATAAACAAGTGCTTGAAAGGCAAAGGAAAAATGGGAGAACTGGCCAGGACCAGGGTCACCAACATGAAATGCTGCAGTAGAGAGCAGCACAGACCTGAGCCAGCTTTAATCCATACAGACCAACCTAGAAAAACAAGAGCTATAAAATATTATTAGAAACCTAAACCTTTATTCAAGTGGTGAGCCACTCTGTTATTCCCACTTGCCATGTCCTTACAGAGACTGAAAGAAAACAAATGTGGGCCAACCCTGAGCAGATGAACTAGTGGCAGCAGACACAAATCAAGCTGAGGTACTCAGCACCTTCTTTGCCTGTGCTCACCAGCAAGGTCTCCCTCTGAGAGATGATTCAAGGAGGAGAATGACCAGCAGTGGGTAAGGATTGAATTAGGGATTCCTTGAGAAATCTCAGTGCATTCAAGTCCACCTGACTGACTGCATCCGGGGATGCCACCAGAACTGGCTGATGTCCTTGCTGCTCCCTACCACCTTTGAAAAATCATGAAGATCAGGGAATCCCCAATAAGTAAAGAAAGGCAAACACTCCATCTGTCTTCAGAGAGAGTCAAAACAATGATGCAGGGAATTACAGGCCAATCAGTCTCACTTGGCTTCCTGGAGACTGGAATGAAAAATTACAGAGCAGATCCTCTTGGAAGACATTTCTGGGCACATAAGCAAAAGGAGACTGGCAACAGGCAACATGGATTTACCAAAAGTAATGATGCCTGACCAAGCCAACTGCCTCCTATGACAAAATGTCTGTATTTGTGGAGCAGTGGATATCATCTACATCACATTTGGCACAGATTTTAACACTGCATCCTACACTATTCTCAAAACTAAGTTGGGATGCCATGGTCTGGATGGGTAGGCATGCAAATGTTTTAAAAATTGGCTGGATGGTTGGGTTCACAGGGAGTGGTTCACGTATTGGGTTCTACCTGGAGCCAGTGACAAGTGTAGTACCTCAGGCCCTGAGCAACCTGGCCTGACCTCACAGCTGACCCTGCTGGCAGGAGGAGGTTGGACTAGAAGTCTCCTGAGGTAGCTTCCCACCTGATTTATGCTATCATTCTGTGATTTTACAATGGTCAAGACAGCTCATTTAAACACCCACACTGCTACAAAACCACAGCTGTAATGCAGACATACACTAAAGGGATGTAGGAACACAAACCTTCTGCAAGTCAATGGGACAGATGCTCCTCAGCCAGGGGTTTTTGAAAGCACTGAGTGTTGGCTTTTATGAGAAGTGCCTGAGGAGCAAAGCTATTGCATTTTCACAGCAACACCTGTACTGGCAAAGGCCGATCAGATTGAATGGAGATGAAGCATACGTCCAAGCTGCCTTCCAAAGTTTTGATTATCAATGATACGCAAAAAAGAAACGTGAGTTTGATTCTCCAGATTGGGTTTTCTCAAAAATGTCTTAGGAAAAGACATGCTCTCATTTGTAATTGGAGTGAATCGGATACGGACTTACTGAGATAAAACAGAAAAGGATGTCCTTATTTATATGGGCATTTTTTTTGGACTGAACTACATTTTAACTTTGAAATATACAGCTCCTAGAAAGCATTATCAATTTATGTATGTGATACCCCTCAATCCTCACATGCTTTGATCTTTTACCAGCTGCACCTCACGCTGGATGCAAATATCCAATCAAACCTTCTACTTTATATTCCACTTTGGGAGCCCTCATAACTATCTGAAGGTAGCCACAAACTCCGCGCTTAGCAGAGATGACTTACTGGGGAAGAGGAAAGCCCCTTCTGGAGCAGAGACTGGCACATGCTAAGAGTAGATGGGTAGAAACTGGGTTCTAAAATGGTTTCTGCTCTGACCGTCAGGGTTTCCTTAGTCACATCAACAGAAATCGTTGCTGTCCTTATCAAAATGTGTACAATTATATGTTTATAAGTCACAAGCTTATTGTGAGGCCAAAGTAATTTTCGTAAAGCAGCATGGTATCTTCAGACGAAAAGGGCTACAGCTGCAAATGGTTCCTACTATTACCACCCTTCTGCTATTTCGGTCATGTTGGCTCCCGAGATTTTTCGAATCTTTGTTTACTGCTGTTTGTAGCAGTTGCCAAGCAGTTTTTTGGATCTGCTTTTACTGTACCTACCCATGGGTCTGTGCAGCCAAAAAGCAATGCCAGACTGTTTCCCCAGGAACACCGTCCGTAGCACAGACAGAGGGTCTGATTCAGCCCTCGTCCCCAACAATCTCTGTGCCAGGTGTTGGAACAAAGGCCAACCATATAAAAGGAAAGTCATTTAGGAGCGGAGGAAGTGTTGCTATCAGTAATTCTAGGTTGATTTTTCCTCCAGTGCTGATGTTTCTGTAGTGCAGGAAACAGTTACTGAAGGCTACTGACCTTCCAAGTTTTTAATAATTAAGTGACTCTCAAAATAATTTTGACATTCATCCCCTCTAACTTCTTTAACAATGATGCAGTGTGAGCACATACTCTTAGTCTGAACCTCATTCCAATTTATTAATGCTTCAAATTCACAATTCAGCTTACCAAAAATCAAGCGTGTGGAAAGAAATCTTCTCATCATATCCACATTAACATTAGCTTGTGGCCAGGGTCAACAGAGGGCGTGAACGTGTTATTATTACCTCTTCCTCCAGAGCAAAAAAACAAAGTGCCTGCTGAAGATCAAGCTCTGCAGGCCACACAGCAGCAAAAGACTCAGCAGAACTTCTCCGTTCATCAGAATTCATTGTGCAGAAAATAAAATTGTATTTACAATACCCTGCTCACAATGGGCAGAGAGGTAAATTCAATTTGCAGGAAGACTGTGGAAAATGGATGATTTTGTGGGGAGGGCATAGATCAGATTTCTGGGAGAATGCAAAGAGGTAGATCCTTAGATAAACAGTAGGCTCCGGATCTGAATGAAGAAAAGGATGAGTTTAAAAGGAGAACGAATGAGTTTACAATGAAATGTGTCCATAGCATGGAATGTGGGCAATGGTCAAAGGAGAGAAAAATAGAGTGAAACGCTATCTCTCAACTCCAGAAAACTTGCATATGAACTGGAATTTAATTGTAAAAAGGCTTAATTAAAACTAAGGCAACTATATTTTGCTAACGTCACAACTCCTTTTAAAAATCAGGCTCCAGACATCATAAAACCTATAAAAATGTGTGGAACGATTTTTGGCAAGGGAGGAAACGCTGCAGGATGTCGCAATTTGCTGGGACCACAATCACATTTGCCATCCAATTTCATACCTTCCTCTTTGAGCCCGTTAAGGTGATCCGAATGGAAACACCGATCTGAAATAATGCTCCAGCCAAATGTGTATGAGCATCCTAATACAAGAAAAGATGAGGGAGGAAAGTTTTGCAGCAGGATTAAAAAAGAAAGAGAGTATATTTTCATTACTTAATGAAAGAATTGTGATAGCCTGTTTCAGACAGAGTGGCACTAACCATACGTAACCAGATAACTAAGCAGAAAGTCACCACAGACAGAGGAGCACGGTATCAAAGCAGCAATGCCAATTCTGCCTGCGCTGCTTTGATGCTGTCAAGCAAACATTTAAGGGAAGGTCTTTGGAGCTAAATTAATCATTTTTAATTACCGCAGTCTTCATTTCAGCACCATCTCTCCCCTGGCTATGCTTTGCATCGTGTATTTCCAAAAGCGGCTTGTGTCAGTGAGTTAATCCTACGCTGCTGCCCCCCAAAACTAAACGCGATGGGCTGAGACGCTTCGGGGGGCTATCCGCAGCCGCTATTGCCAATCGCTTTGCCTTTCCTGATGAAATGCCTGACTTGTCCAGAGTGCTGAACTAATGAAACCCCATGCAACAGCAGCCGCGGCGAGCCACGAGACGGCGGCTCTTACCTTGATGAGGAATTTGCGAGGAAGAACCCATCAGCGCGTTACATATTCCTTGAGAAACGCTGCTGTGCCCTTTCACGATTGCATTATGAAGAGAAAAAAAAAATCTGCGCTGTGCTGCGCCCCCCCCCAACACACCCCCCTCACAGACCCTAAAACCCCTCTGTCCCTTCTCCCCGCCGGGAGGCTCCCGGGCTGCCCGCCCCCCCCCGGGGGTCCCGCAGCCTCCTCACCTGTGGGGTCCAGCAGGGCCAGCGGGCCCGGCACGGCCGGGGCTCCCGGAGGAGCCATCCCCCAGCCCCACACCGGAGCCTCCGCTCCGCCGCTGCCCGCGGAGGGGTGCGGGAGGCACCGGCACCGGCCCCGGCCCCGGGACCGCCCCGGGGGGGAGCCCGGCGGGGGGCGAGGCGGGGCGAGCGGTCGCTTCGCCGAGGGGGGGACCCGAGGGGGGGACTTCCCTGAGCTTCTTTCCCGTAGGGATGTCCCCGGAGCTTCTTGGGGGTCTCTGGTCTTGTCAAGACCTCCAGGGATGGGGACTCCAGCACTTCCCTGGGCAGCCCATCTCAATGCCTCACAACCCTTTCATAAAGGAAGTTCTTCTTAATATCCAACCTAAATTCCCTCAGCCCATCTCCCTGGTCTGTAAAATGTCCCAGCCAGAAGCTGGGACCTCACACAAACTTTTTCAGGTCTGCTCCAAGTGCAGGTCCACCTCCTCTCCGCCTGCACCCTTAATAGATGCAGCTCTTCTTGTCTTTCAGCCACCTTTTTCCTCCAAAACTACCTCTGCACGCTCTGAGCATGTTCATTTTCAGGCTGGCCTTTGAGCGTTTTGGGGGGACGGAGGGGCAGGTACTAGATTTTTGTTTGTGCAGTAGTCAATAACTTCATTCATTACATCTTCTAACCGTGTCTCAGGCTTGGCTTCACTTCTTCATTTGCTCTTGGCCTATGGCAGGGGACCAATTTGTCACCTGGTGGAGATTAGAGTTATAAAGCTTTCCTTTCAGCTTTCCTCTTTCCCTTTAAAAAAAAAATAATCAATACCAAACAGAAATAAAATATCACAGCAACCATAAATATTAATAAAACTAATAAAAAAAGTAGGAATCTTTGAGATATAGGTTAAGGTAGGCATAGGCTAAGACAGGCAATGCCAATAGCGAAGACATATCGCAAGGCTGTTCCTTTTCTTAAAGAGTATCTATCAATTTCTCAGCCTCACTGTCTCTCTCCTTACATCTTATTTTTCATTCCTGCAATAGATCCTGCTGCTTGTCCTGCAGCTACACAGGAGCTGCTGGCTGCTGCTCTTAGTGTTACTGACTGCAGGGAGGTGTGAGGTCTTTCAGAAAGAGTCTAGGAACAGCCGAGAAGAAAGAGCCACCAGCCACTGCATTGTCTGCTGTTCCTTTTGCAGGACTTGTCCCTACTTTTTCAGTCTTTCCCATATTTCCCCAGGAAATGTTTACATGAAAGGAGACAACTTTCTCAGATACCGCTCCTAGTCTATGAAGTCAAGTAAGCCAGGAGCTCAGGCCAACCACAAACTATGTCCACTCTGAGTCAAAGCCACACTTTTCTCTTTGTGTCCTCTAACCTGGAGGGCTTGAAGGCTGTAGTCTGTGTAGAAAAGAGAAAAATGAAGATAAAGGTAGTATTCGTTCTACATATTGATTACTAATTATTAACAGAAATTAATGAAGGCATGAAGACAGAAGAGGTGATGGTACAAATGAAACATTTCTCCTAGTGAAAGTGAGATGCAGAAGAGTGATAACAAAACCTCAAAAGCTAGTATAGCCCCTCAGCTTCAGGGGTGGTTTTGGACAGAAATTTCCATTAACATTAACAGGAAGGACTGTGGAAAATGTCCATTCCCCAGCCATAGTTTGGAAAAAATATACCTGAATGCAGAATGTATTCTTGGGTGTGATGGGCAATAAGCTTTTTCTACCAGCAGCCACCGAACAGACACAACAGCCCAATGGGAAATTGTTTTCGACTTCTTTTCAGTAAACAGAAATGATCTTATAAAACGTTTTAAAAATAAGTTGATTATGGAAAATAACCTTTGATCAATGACTCATATGTTTCACTGTAAATTTCAGGAGAGTCAAAAATAGATCTGGTCCTAAAGTCCTGGATATCAGAGGGCAAACATCAGGAAACTATGGGAAAACGATTGGTGAGACTGCCTGGACCTAAGTACTCAAGCATTTGAATGTGGAATAATCATGGAATTAATTTAAATCCAATGTAAAAAATAACATGTAGCACTCTCATCCCCTAAAAAAAAAAAAGTAGAACAGCTTCAGAACAGCTATAGACGTACTGGATATGTAACTACCTGAAAGAGGATATTGAAGTAGTGAGTGAACCTATAGGAAAGAAAATAGGTGAGCTACATCCTGCAGGGCAGGAACTGCAGAACCAGGGAGAAAGAATGGATATAAATCTAGCTGAGCCTGATGTTGCAAAGAAAAATATAACAGATAGCCAAGAATTCTTCAATTATACAAATAACAGTGATTCAAATAAGGGAGATGTATGACCGCTAGATGCTGAGGATAGGATGAAGAATGAGGCTGCTTCCAATCTTGGATGAACACATTGACTCAGTTTTCAATCAAAAATTTATCTCTATGAGGGTAATGGTAGAGAACCCAAAGCAAGCAGGAATAATGTAAATGACATTAGCAGAAGTGAAGTAGAAGCATAACTTAGGTTGTTTCCTGTGGCAGGCCCAGGAAAATTGCACCCCAGAAGTTGCAAGAATTGGTAGCTATCTTCTCAAGCCCTGGGCAATGTTTTCAGTGAATTAGATAAGCTGGAAGTGAAGCTCTATCACTGGAGAGCAGGAAACCTCTCGCACAAGAAGGCAGAGGAGGTGAGAACAGCAACTCCATGCCCCATTGATTTGACTAGGAAAAGTCTTACAGGCAAGTGAAAAATGTGTTCAAACACAGTGTCTTTCATCAAAGCTAGACTATGTCAAACTGACAAAATCTTTGATAAGGTAAGTAATTCCTGAGGCAAAAGGAAAGCAGTGAAGCAAATCTGTCTGGATTATGCGCAGCATTTGGTGGAGTCCTTCAGAGAAAATGGCTTAACTTGGAGCAGCCAAGTACAAGTACAGTTCACCCATCAGGTGTGGAGATTGCTAAAGAGGAGCCAGGATAGTGAAAGGAAGGCTGCCTGGAGTACACCTCAGGGACCAATCTGAAGGCAAGATCTCTGGTGCTGGGTTTAAGGTATATACATGTATGTGTTTATCGCCACAGAATCAGAGCGTCAGAGAATGCTTTGGGTTGGAAGGAACCTTTAAAGATCATCTGGTTCACACCCCCCGACAGGGACAGCAACACCTCCCACTAAATCAAATTGCCCAAAGCCCCATCCAACCTGGCCTTGAGCAATTGAATGAACAATTCTAAGGATGGGGCATCTGCAGCTTCTCTGGGCAATCGCCACCCTCTTAGTGAAGAATTTCTTCCTAATATTTAATCTAAATCTAACCTCTTTCAGTTAAAACTATTACTCCTGGTCCTATTGTATTGGGTTTATGTGGCAAATAGGACCCCACAGTGGAACAGGGGCAGAAAGTGACCATGAAGGAGTAGTGGAGACAAAGCGTCATGGACTGACCACAGTCCCCATTCCCTGTTCCCCTGTGCCATATGGGGGAAGGAGGTGGGAGGGAATAGGAGGGGGAAAGGTGTTTTTAAGTTTGTTTTTGTTTGTTTGTTTGTTTGTTTCTCACTGCTCTAGCTTGTTAGCAATAGGTAATAAATTTCATTAATCTCCATATGCTGAGTCTGTTTTGCCTGCGATGATAATTGTTATCTCCCTGTCCTTATCTCAACCCTCAATCCCTTTTTATCATATTTTCTTCTTTCCCTTTTAGGAGTGGGAGTGGGAGAGCACAGCTGTGGTGGAGCTCAGCTGCCCAGCTGAGTAAAACCAACACACTGATCACTACACTCTGACAAAGAGTCTCTTCCCATCTTTCTTGTAGGCCCCCTTTAGGTATTGGAAGGTCCCTATAAAGTCTTCCTAGAGCCTTCTCTTCTCCAAGCTGAACAACCCAAACTTCACAGGAGAAAAATAAAAAATATTTCACAATGAGAGTGGTGAGGCACTCGAACAGATGTCCTCAAGAAACTGTGGCTGCCCCATCCCTGGAGGTGTTCAAGGCCAGGCTGGATGGGGCTTTGGGCAACCTGGTCTGGTGGGAGGTGTCCCTGCCCACAGTAGGGGGTTGGAACTGTGTGGGCTTTAAGGTCCATGCCAACCCAAGCCATTCTGTGATTCTATGATTACTGAGGACTATGGATGTGGGAGCATATTAGCATATTAAAAATGTGATGAAGTGGAGTTTACACACTTAGAAACTAACTTTTATTGCAACTTTGGAGTCTCACCAGTTCAGTGAAACCGAGAAGGGATCTGTGAACCACTGACAGTACTTGCAGTCCTTGCAAGACTCCAGTTCAAGGACTGCTAAACAGATGTGTTCTGTGATGTTATTTAATAATTGCTAATTAGTTCAATGCACTGTAACTCTGGTCAAACTTCATTTATTTTTATACTTCTGGTTGTCTTTAAAGCCAAAAGGGTTTTTTTGCTGTTGTGGTGTGGGTTTTTTTTGTGTGTGTGTGTTGTGTTTTGTTTTTTCTCCCTAATTTTGTGTGTAACTTGGACCTGAATTTTCTTAATTAATATTTTTTTTTTCAGATCTTTGTTTCTTAGATGTCTGGCTTATGTACTTGCTTACATGTCAAAATTAAATAATTTGCTAGATCTGTGCCCAGAAGTCCCCATGCTTCAAGGGCAGGCTAGTGAGAGTGTTAAGAGTTTTTCCAGAGACTGTGTCTCATGAAGCATAGATAATTGTCAGGATAATGTTTGCATTCTCACCTAAAATGTTCCCTGTTGGTAGAGGGCCTGAAGGCCTCCACAATGACCTTGATTTCTCCTACTCCTTTCCTGTGGCACACTACAGCTTTGAAGGTTTTTTTTCCCATCCTACAGATCATCTTTATACTGGTGAATGTTTTGGAGATGATGTTGGTGACGTGAAATTTGTATCCTGTGGGTTCCTGAAGTCTCCTCTTTATTTTAAACAAACACAGGCTGTCTGGTTATTCCTCACAGGTCATGTTTTCTAGGCTAGTGGACTTTCCCATTGCTTTCCCCTTGTCTCTGTGTCATCACAGGCTGTGAAGGCCATTCCTTTCTTAAAGGATGATGCTCAAAGGCTGGGCAATATTCAAGATCACTTTGAACTCACAGCCTGTCTACCAGCATACTTTTTCCAACATACTCAACAGTTTCTCCCAGGTTTACATCCTCCACAAATTTAATACGCCCTCTATCCCATCACGG